TTGGGAGGCTGAGGTGGGTGGATCACGAGGTGAAGAGATCGAGACCATCCTGGTCAACATGGTGAAACCCCGTCTCTACTAAAAATACAAAAACTTAGCTGGGCATGGTGGCACGTGCCTGTAATCCCAGCTACTCAGGAGGCTGAGGCAGAAGAATTGCCTGATCCCAGGAGGCAGAGGTTGTGATGAGCCGAGATCGTGCCATTGCACTCCAGCCTGGGTAACAAGAGCGAAACTCCATCTCAAAATAAAAAAAAAAGAAAATAAATGAAGGCAGAAATAAATATGTTCTTTGAAACCAACCAGAATGAAGACACAACTTACCAGAATCTCTGGGACACCTTTGAAGCAGTGTCGAGAGGAAAATTTATAGCAATAAATGCCCACCAGAGAAGAGAGGAAAGATCTAAAATCGACACCCTATCATCAAAATTGAAATAGCTAGAGGAGCAAGAGCAAAAAAACTCAAAAGCTAGCAGAAGACAAGAAATAACTAAGATCAGAGCTGAACTGAAGGAAATAGAGACACAAAATACCCTTCAAAAAATCAATAAATCCAGTCGCTGGTTTTTTGAAAAGATCAACAAAACACACAGACCACTAGCCAGATTAATAAAAAAGAAAAGGGAGAAGAATCAAATAGGTGCAATAAAAAACGATAAAGGGGATATCACCACTGATCCCACAAAAATACAAACTAACATCAGAGATTACTACAAACAGCTCTACTCACATAAACCAGTAAACCAGGAAGAAATGGATAAATTCCTAGATACTTGTACTCTACCAAGACTAAATTAGGAGGAAGTTGAAACCCTGAATAGACCAATAACAAGGGCTGATGCAGAGGCAGCAATTAATAGCCTACCAACCAAAACAAGTCCAGGTCCAGATGGGTTCACAGCCAAATTCTACCAGATGTACAAAGAGGAGCTGGTTCCATTCCTTCTGAAACTGTATCAAACAATACAAAAGGTGGGAATCCTCCCTAACTCATTTTATGAGACCAACATCATCCTCATACCAAAACCAGGCAGAGACTCAACTAAAAACTAAAACTTCAGGCCAATATCCATGATGAACATCGACACAAAAATCTTCAATAAAATACTGGCAAACAGATTGCAACAGCACATCAAGAAGCTTATCCATCACAAACAAGTAGGCTTCATCCCGGGGCTGCAAGACTGGTTAAACATATGCAAATCCAAAAATGCAATCCATCACATAAACAGAACCAAAGACAAAAACCATGATTATCTCAACAGATGCAGAGAAGGCCTTCGACAAAATTCAACAGCCCTTCATGCTAAAAACTCTCAATAAACTAGGTATTGACAGACGTATCATAAAATGATAAAAGCTATATATGACAAACCTACAGCCAATATCATACTGAACAGGCAAAAGCTGGAAAAATTCCCTTTGAAATCAGGCACTAGACAAGGATGCCCTCTCTCACCACTCCTATTCAATATAGTATTGGAAGTTCTAGGCAGCAATCAGGCAAGAAAAAGAAATAAAGGGTATTCAATTAGGAAAGGAGGAAGTCAAATTGTCTCTATTTGCAGATGACATGATAGTATACCTGGAAGACCCCATCATCTCAGCCCAAAATCTTCTCAAACTGATAAGCAACTTCAGCAAAGTCTCAGGATACAAAATCAATGTGCAGAAATCACAAGCATTCCTATACGCCAATAACAGACAGACAGCAAATCAAGAGCGAACTCCCATTCACAATTGCTACAAAGAGAATAAAATACCTAGGAATACTTAACTAACAAAGTATATAAAGGACCTCTTCAAGGAGAACTACAAACCACTGCTCAACGAAATAAGAGAGGACACAAACAGATGGAGAAACATTCCATGTTCATGGTTAGGAAGAATCAGTATCGTGAAAATGGCCATACTGCTTAAAGTAATCTATAGATTCAATGCTATCCCCATCAAGCTACCAATGACCTTCTTCGCAGAACTGGAAAAAACCACTTTAAACTTCATATGGAATCACAAAAGACCCCACATAGCCAAGACAATCCTAAGCAAAAAGAACAAAGTTGGAGGCATCACACTGCCAGACTTCAAACTATACTACAAGGTTACAGTAATCAAAACAGCATGGTACTGGTACCAAAACAGAGACATAGACCAATGGAACAGAGCAGAGACCCCAGAAGAAACACCACGCATCTACAACCATCTCACCTTTGACAAACCCAGCAAAAAACAAGCAATGGGGAAAGACTCCATGTTTAATAAATGGTGTTGGGAAAACTGGCTAGCAATGTACGGAAAGCAGAAACTGGACCCCTACCTGTCACCTTACACTAAAATTAACTCCAGATGGATCAAAGATTTAAACATAAAACCTAACACCATAAAAACACTCAAAGAAAATGTAGGCAAAACCATCCAGGACATAGGCATAAGCAAGGACTTCATGACTAAAACACCAAAAGCAATGGCAATAAAAGCCAAGATAGACAAATGGGATCTAATTAAACTCCAGAGCTTCTGTACAGCAAAAGAAACAATCACTAGAGCGAATAGGCAACCAACAGCATAGGAAAAAATTTTTGCAATCTACCTATCTGACAAAGAGCTAATATCCAGAATCTACAAATAACTAAAATAGACATACAAGAAAAAAACAAACAACCCCATTCAAAAGTGGGTGAAGGATATGAACACTTTTCAAAAGAAGACATATATGAGGCAAAAAAAATATGAAAAAATGCTCATCATCACTGGTCATTACAAAAATGCAAATCAAAACCACACTAAGATATCATCTCATGCCAGTTAGAATGGCAACCATTAAAAACTCTGGAGACAACAGGTACTGGAGAGGATGTAGAGAAATAGGAACACTGCTACACAGTTGGTGGGAGTGTATATTAGTTCAACCATTACGGAAGACAGTGTGGCGATTTCTCAAAGATCTAGAAATAGAAATTCCATTTGACCCAGCAATCCCATTACTGGGTATATACCCAAAGAACTATAAATTGTTCTACTATAAAGACACAAGCACACATATATTCATTGCAGCCCTGTGTACAATAGCAAAGACCTGGAACCAACCCAAATGCCCATCAATGATAGACTGGACAAAGAAAATGTGGTACATATACACCATGGAATACTATGTAGCCATAAAAAAAAAAAACGATGAGTTCACGTCCTTTGTAGGGACTACATGAATCTGCAAACCATCATTCTCAGCAAACTGACACAATAACAGAAAGCCAACCACCGTATGTTCTCACTCATAGGTGGGTGTTGAACAACGAGAACACATGGACTCAGGGAGAGGAACATCGCACACTGGGGGCAGTTGGGGTGGGTAGGGGAGAGAAAGTGGGGGGTGGGGAGGAAGGGGAGTGGGGAGGGATAACATGGGGAGAAATGCCAGATAGAGTATGCACCTAAAGTAAAATTAAAAATTAAAAAAAAAAACAGATACAGGGTCTTGCTGTGTTGCTTAGGCTGGTCTCAAACTCCTGGTCTCAAGCAACCCTCCTGCCTTGGCCTCCCAAAGTGTTGGGATTGCAGGTGAGAGCCGCTGCACCGAACCTGTTGTTATTTCTTTGAATAAGCTTTCTATTCTTGCCCTGGCTCAGCTCCAAGAGCCAGCTGTTTAAAGGACAACTGCCTCTAAAGTTTGGTCTCTTTGCACATATTTGGTTCTCCATCATTCCACCTTCTGCCACGCGGAAGCAGCATGAGTTCCTCACCAGATAGGCTGATGATCTTGGACTTCTCAGGTTACAGAATTTTGAGCTAAATAAACCTCTTTCAAAAATAAATTACTCAGTCTCAGGAATTCTGTTATTAGCAACACAAAATGGACTAAGACACAGCCTTTTCCAAGTCAGGTCACATTCACAGGTACTTAGGGTTAGGATTTTCATATATCTTTTGGAGGGACACAATTCAATTTACAACATCTAAGCCCTGCTTCAATTAAGGGCCCCACTTTCTCTGTCTAGCCTTGTATTATTTGACTCAATGCTAGTTTCATTCCTCTGTCCACCTATACCATTGCCCTTTGATTTTCCTGGACTTCTGATCTTAGTCCTTAATTTTAACTTAATACTAATTATACTTCACTGCAAACACCTATGTTGTTATTGCCTTAGTTATAATCATGTCAAGTACTTGCATTTTAAAACACTACTTTTAAAAAGATAACTTTTTTGTTTCTACATTACACCATTATATTATATTTAAGGAAATGATGTTGATTTTTAAAATGTGTATCAGTAGGTTTTATTTTCTAGATACTTCTTTTCAGGAATTATTTGTTAATAACAGGAGACACTGGGTCCGATAGGACTAAAAACCAATTAGAAGCCATAGAAGAGAACTGAGCAAGGAGAGAAACCCATGAAGACAGTGTCTTGAGGAAACTCATGTGGCCGCAGTGTCTGAGAGGACTTAAATGGGAGACTTCAATTTTATTGTAAATAAATAACTAGGAAAATGAATGAACCACTGAGAGAATTTAAAAAAAAAGTCCATCTTGTGAGGATGTAAAGTATTACGTTGGAAATATAGAATTTCCACTATTATCACCAAACATTCATTGTATATGTGCTGAATATAAAGTAGTATGAGAAACAGCCCTTGTTCTCCGGCTGGGGAAAGAAAGCAGAGACTCCAAAAGAGAAAATATCATTTACTGAGCGTCAGATGAGTGCAGTACTTTCTGAAACCAGGGGCCTCCCTCCATCCCTCACTCACATGCCTTTAGATTTACACATGCCTCCTAAACAAGGTGTGAAATGAAGCAATGAATGGCATGTAAACAATACAAGATCCTTGAATGATGCAACACTCTGTGATATTCTGTGACAAGGGGAAGGCAGAGGAACTGTGCCACCTGAATGGCTCTCAGCAGGATGAGTGTGAGCCAAGATAAGGGCAAGGAACACGAGGTGAGGGAGAAAGACCACTACTGACATTCCTACAAGCCTAGGCATCCTGCTCACCTGGGACCTGACTGGGTTAAACACAGGCATTGCAGCCTCGTCTCTGGGTTTTTTTTCATGGAGATGAGCTGATCCTTGGGAAACAGGCCCTGTAGAGAGAGAAGGCAAGAGTCCTAAATGAGACACAGTGGCCTTTAGGGTACTGTTTTTGGAGACCCAGGCTTTTCCCCCAAAGTTCTTATGTTTGTTAAACACTCAAGAACTAAGACGTAGACTTTACTGTGTGAGACAAAGAATCACAACTGCTTTCATTCTGTCAGAAATTCTAAAATGTACAACTTTAGGGTCTCTCGCCCAAAAACTTAAGTGGGATTTACGAACTCATAAGGTACTTTACAGTCATGCACTCTTACATAAAGAAAAAATAAAAATCATAGACAAAGGAAAGATCAAGCAGAGAACACAGAGACAAAAGAAAGGATGTGGAAAGCAGTGAGATGAGACGGAGGAGAAAAAGGAAAGCAGAAGAAAGGAAGATAGAGAGAGAGTCAGAAAATAAAGATGTTTAAAAAAACAGAGAAGCGATGTTAGCCATGAACTAGAAAAACTGTTAGGAGGTGCTAATCCCACAGAACCAACAGTAATCAAAACGGCGATGACGACTGCACAATGCCAGCCACTGTGCTGTTACTTTAAAAGATTATTGCCAATCCTCAAAATAATCAAGAAGATCCGAAGTATTGCCTTCATATATCCTAGGCACATTGAGAAGAATCACGGCTGAGTGCAGAGTACACACAGAGATCAAACAGGTAACTGCTGACTACTTGAATGACCCGTTCACTAAATGACTTGCCTGAGTCACACAGTTGGCAGATGGCAGAGTATAAAATTACCAAATGAAGAGCACATGTGGTCATTCTAACCCAAAAATATAAAACAGAACATCACTATTTTTGCTCTGCTTTTCTTTGCTTCCATCATGGATCACTATGGAATCTTTTTACTACTGTTGTTTCATTTCTGGAAGGAATAAAGTTTGCTGGAAAAAAACAGCTTTGCCCTGATTCACTGCTACTATTAATGTAGTCGTCCACAACACATACAAACTCAACAAGTCAGCTTAAAAAGCACAGTGTAAAATAAAGCAGGTCTTTAAGTTTGTTCAGATTCAGGGTTAGACAAAAAAATACAACTTGATGTTGGTCAAAGGGTACAAACTTGCAGTTATAAGATGAATAAGTTCTGGAAACTGAATGTACAGCATGGGGACTATAGTTAGTAATAATGTATTGCATATTTGAAATTTCATAAGAGTGGATCTTAGGAATTCTTACCACACACACACAAAAGGTAACTGTGAGATATATGTTAGTTTGCAGTAATCATTTCACAGTGTGTCAAACTTGAGGACAAGAAGGCTGTGCAAGTGTCAGTGGCCAGTTCCCAGTCTCCTCACTAAGCTCACTCTCTGGCACTCACCACTCACTTCTTGTGGGTTCTCTTGTGTAAGCTGTGGAGGTTCACACTTCAGGGTAGTTACCCCAGGCAGGAGCCCGAGTCTCTGACACTCCAAAGAGACTCCTTGGTATTCTGTCACCATTGGGCGCATGTCCTGTCCCTGCATATAGACAGAGGCCTAAAAACAAAAGATTTACTTTGAAAGGCATGCATATATGGACTGCATGCTAAGAGCCAGCCACTGTTCTATATGCTATGGATACAGCAGCAAACAAGGCAGAAAAGACAGGCAAAGGATACCAGCCCAGAAAAACAAAAACAGCAAACAAGTGGATGTTTAAACCAGCTGGTGAAAATGTAATGAGGAACCAGATATGTACACTGTCTCAAAATGTCTCCCACAGATTACTTAGTAATTACAAAAGGGAAAAAGGTAACTTTCTAGTGGAGAAATCTGACAGGTACCACTGTAACCTCATCAGTAACGGGACAAATCATCACTATGTGCCTCTGAAGTGACGCACTGAGAATACAGCATTACCTCTGTGGTACTGTAGCCAAAATATGCAACCTGAATCTGATCATGAGAAAATAGAGGACAAACTCAAATTGAGGGATATTCTCCAAAAAATTAGCCATACTCTTCAAAAACAATGATGTCATGACAAAGACAGCAGCTACTCCAGATTCACAAAGATTAGAGGTACAGCAGCTAAGCACAACATGCAATGCTGGCTTGTATCCTGTATCAGAAAGAAAATTACCATCAACAGCATCATTAGGGTAACATGGCAAAATATGAATAAGGACTAAGGTTATATGATAGTATCATAACAATTTTAATTTCCCTCAACTTGATATTTGTATTCTGGTTATATAAGAGAAATACACACTGAATGGCCAGGTGCGGTGGTTCATGCCTGTAATCCCAATGTTTTGAAAGGCCAAGGCAGCAGGATCACTTCAGGCCAGAAGTTCAAGATTAGCATAGGCAACATAGCAAGACTCCACCCCCTATACAAAAACTGGTGGCATGTACCTGTAGTCCCAGCTACTCAGGAGCCAGAGGTGGGAGGATTGCCTGAGCCTTCCACCGTTGCAGTTCAAGGCTGCAATGAGGCTACGATCGCACCATTGCACTCCAGCCTGGACAACAGAATGACGTAAAGGGATATAGTGTTTGCAACTAACTCTCAAATGGTTTGAGAAAAAAAATACTGCATGTGTACATGTATGTATGTGTGTGTACAAGGGGGGAATGCACCTCCTTGCACAAGAGGGTACACAACAAGGGGACTTCATGAAACAGATGTTAACTGGCAGATTTAGATGAAGAGTTTATAGGAGTTCTCTATTCTAATACTTTCATAAATTAGAAATTATTTCAAAACAAAAAGTTAAACTGAAACGTGTCCCCCTTTTCTTCTCCCACACCATCACACACATTCTCTTCGCACCTGTTGTCCTGTGTCTCCACTTCCTGTCTCTAGATTCTCCAGCACTGTCACTGCTTCCTCTCCACTTTCCAGAGGATATGTCTTCACAAAGGGCTGGAGATCCTTGGGCAGGATGGTCAGGAACTGCTCCAGCACCAGCAGTTCCATTATCTGTTCCTTGGTGTGCATCTCCGGTCTCAGCCATTGATGACAAAGTTCTCGGAGTTGGGCCAGAGCTTCCCGGGGTCCAGGAGCCTCCTGAAAGCAGAACTGCCGAAAGCGCAGGCGGCAAATCTCCTGAGGGTGGGAGCTGCTCTCCAGTGAGCTGCACACCTGCTCCCACGTGGGATCTTCCTCCTTCACTTTCACAAGGCCATCTCCATTTTCAGGAGCAGGGCCTGGCAAAGCTTCATCCATGTTGAGATTAGAGGCTAAAGGTTCACTCAGCTTGGGGTCCATATTCAGAAATACAGATCTGAGGCATAAGAATCGATCAGCAACATGCAAATTATAAGAGCTACAAAATGGTATGTGACCCACTTGTATTTTGTCCCCACTGTAAGTAATGTTCGAAAGCTGGGCCTGCGTGCTTCTATTATCAGTGAAATGAATCGGAAGTCTATCTGGATCTAGTACTAACAGGGCTGAGTCCGGAGGTGAGGGATGTAGGATATAAGGGAAGAAGGGTCAGCAATAAGAAAGCTTGGGCAGCTTGCACTTTAGCTGGGAAGCAGGTATGATTTACCCACTGAGGGGCCAGATGGCTGCCTTCATGGACAAACAATACAGTCTCAAAGGTAATCTATATCTGTGTATCTCTCATTGCATATTTCACTTTAAATGTAGGTGTAACAGACTGTCCAAAGTCTCCCATTCTCAAATATCTTTTGTGAAGAGATTTTGCCACCGTTCGCATCAAGGGGTGGAATCTATTTTCCCTTCCCTTGAATCTGTTCTGGCCTATGACTTGCTTTAACCAGTGGAATATGGGAGAAATGACATTGTAAGAGGGAGTGCTGCTGTAGCTCTTGGCTCACTGCCATGAGACTGCCACGCTGTGAGGAAGCCCAAGCTAGCTATGTAGAGGTCACATGGATGAGAATCTAAATGCCCAAGCTAAAGCCCTACTGGGCCTAGTGCTCAGATAATTCTCCAGGTGAATGCAGTTATATTAATAACTCCAGGTAAGACCAGCAGAACTGCCTAGTCAACCTGCAGAATCCTGTGGAATAATAAGCTGAGTTTGTTTTCCGCCACTTAAGTTTAATTTTAGATGCAGCAATACATAACTGAGACAGGAGACATGGATTAAGTTTTTTCCCCTCTCTTCATTTTTCCCTTTGTGATCTCTTTAGTCACAATTTCAATATATCTCAGTTCTAAGAAGACTCAAATCTTTGGCTCCAGCTTGCTTTTTTCAATCCAAACCCACATCTTGAAATGCCAGCAGCGGTAGGCCTCTCCTACAGATCCCAAACTGAGATCAGAGTCCCTCAAGCTGCACTCACTCTGTATTTCTCCATCTCTACTGGCATCGCCGTCATCTTACATGCATTCCATCTTTTTAAAAGCCTCTATATACAATCGGTGAGTCCAGCCAATTCTAAAGGACGCCCCTTGCAGCCATTCCTTCCTTCTTATTCTTTTACTATCATTTTCATTCACTGTCACGATAATGTTCCGTTACGGTATTCCTGCCTAACTCCTTGCTTCGATGGTCACTGGGTTAATACCTCCTAAAGCACAATTCTGACCATATTCAACATGCCTCACACACATTAAACACATACAAAATCTTCATTAAACTCGCTGAAGGAAATCCATACTCCCCAGGATCTAATCTCGACTGGGTTTTGATGGCATGTTTGTCACTCAGTAAACATCTGCGGAGCACTTCATTATTTTCCAGGCATAAGGCTAACTCTGGAATAAAAGACTTCGTTCCTACTTTCAAGAAAGCCACGGTCTTCCCAAATTCCTTGTGTCACTGACATGATAAGTTCTTCGTTTTGTTTTGTTTTTTTTTAACCCTCTCTACAGTCAGGACCGCCCTTCGAAGGGTCAATTCCCAAGGCCGAGTGCAAACGTTTTCTGTAAAACCTTCCCTGGCCACCCCTAACCCTGACAGACAGACAGGAAAACTAAGCCGCAGGTAGAAAGGGGTGTTCCCACGGAAAACTGCACCCAACCCTCACCTCCTCCATCTCGTGTGACAGGTCACCCACCCCATCCCCACCCGGCTTCCTGAGAACGCGGTTACGGCTGCACAGACTCCACAAGCCCGGCACGGACCTGGTATTCAACAAACACTGGTGGCTTCTTCACGAATGCACGTGGAGCACCTAGATCCCAGCAGCCAGCACCCTCAGGCGCGCCCCAGAACCTACTTTTCTGAGGCTGCACCCAGCATCTAGCACCGCGCCAGGCACTCAATACCTGCGCGTCCAATTGTTGGTTAATGGACCAGAAGTTCAGGAACGCGCACAACAAAGACGTGGCCGACCTTGCGGAAGGCTCCCGCGGGAGCACAGAGGCCCGAGGCTCCCCAGTCGAGCGCGCCGGTCTCCTCAGAGCACGGGCCGCGGGGCTGGGCCGGCTCACAGACGCTTCCGGTCTCTGCCCACAGCCGAATCGCGGAATCCGGCGGTTCCCTTCCTCTCTAGGAACACGGCCGCTCGTCTCTCTGGTGAGCAGGGAGGACCCCCGCTGCCACCTCCCGCCCCGCCCAGGTCGCGCTCCGCTGCCCGACCCCAGGCCCGTCCGAACGGCCCGAGCACGCCCACATTTATCTACATCATTTCAATGAAAACCAACCGAGTGGCAAAGACAAAGCTGAATGTCTGTCTTTGGCGTTAGCACTGGCGGGTGGGAGACACAGATCAATAAGACCATTATGGTAAGCTGTACAAATTATTTTCTTTAAGTATACATATGTACCGTAAACAACTCAAGTTGCAAAAGGACCGTAAAACGAAAAGCGTCCGACTCCTTAGAGTTAACCATTATATTTTGTGCATAATTTTCTACAACACTACCGGCAACGTAGTAGCACTTAATAAGCATTTTGTTTAGTGAGTATCTGTACATTTTAAAACACTTACGGTATCGTAGTGTGATTTTGTACCCTAGCTCTTTTCGGTTAAGGTCACTTGGAGATCTCCACAGATTAGCTCATTCTTTAATAGCTAAATCGTATTGTATGGCTGTTCCATAATTTACTAACCCCATTGATGCATACCAGAGGGAATATCATTCAATACCTTTACATTCTTTTATGAATATATTTCTAGGATAAACGCCGCATATTAGAACTAATCAGCCAAAGGACATGTGCATTTAAAATGTTGATATGCAAGTTCCCTATTTGGTTTTTAAGGGCACTTCTGTTTAAAAGGCTTTAACAGAAAAATTAGTAAAGGACATGAACATTGCTATACACAATACAAGATGTGGCAAATTAACATGTGAAAAGATGTTAAATAGTAAAAATATAAAAGTCTTAACAACAGACCCATTATTTATTCATTTACCTACTGCGTTTTGGCAATTTTTTAATGTTTTTTGTTTTTTGAGACGGAGTTTCGCTCTTGTTACCCAGGCTGGAGTGCAATGGCGCGATCTTGGCTCACCACAACCTCCTCCTCCTGGGTTCAGGCAATTCTCCTGCCTCAGCCTCCTGAGCAGCTGGGATTACAGGCACGTGCCACCGTGCCCAGCTGATTTTTTGTATTTTTAGTAGAGACGGGGTTTCACCATGTGGACCAGGATGATCTCGGTCTCTTGACCTCGTGATTCACCCGTCTCGGCCTCCCAAAGTGCTGGGATTACAGGCTTGAGCCACTGCGCCCAGCTGAGTATTGGCAATTATGAATGAAGCTACTATAAACATCTGTGTGCAAACTCTTGTGTAGACATTGGTTTTCAGCTCCTTTGGGTAAACACTAAGGAGGGTGATTGCTGCATTATATGGCAAGACTCCCTTTAATTTTGTAAGAAACCACCAAACTGTCATCCAAAGTGGCTGTATCATTTTGCATTCCCACCAGCACAAATGTTCTATGTAAAAACCTTCCATGGCCACACCTAACCCTAACACATAGACAGAAAAACTAAGCTACACCGGTAGAGATAGGGTGTTGCCATGGAAAAGTGCACCCAACCCAATGAACGAGAGTTCCCCGTTGCTCCACATCCATACCATAGCTTGGTGTAGCAGTGTTCTGAATTTTGGTCATTCTCATAGATGTGTAGTGGCATCTCACAGTTATTTGAATTTGCAATTTCTCTGATGGACTATGATGTGGAGCATCTTTTCATATCCTCATTTGCCATCTGTATATCTTCTTTAGTGAGGTGTCTGTCAAGGTCTTTGGCTCACGTATGAATCAGGATGTTCCCTTATTTCTAAGAGTTCTTTCCATATTTTGGATAACAGTCCCTTAACAGACATTTCTTTTTCTGTGGTACATGCAGACAATGCAATATTATTCAGTGCTAATTACAGGTTTGAGCCATGGCTAAAGCCCCCAGGGCTCAAGTGCTGTAATCCCAGAACTTTGGGAGGCCGAGGCAGGCCAATCACTTCAAGCTTAGGAGCTGGAAACCAGCCTGGGCAACACAGCAAAACCGCATGTCTATAAAAAAGACAAAAATTAGCTGGGTATGGTGGTGTGTGCCTGTGGTCCAAGCTACTTGGGAGGCTGAGGCTGGAGAATTGCTTAAACCCAGGAGGCAGAGGCAGTGAGCCAAGATTGCACCACTGTACTCCAGCCTGGGCAACACACAACAGAGTGAGACCCTATCCCAAAAAAATAAACCAATAATAGAAAAAGAAAAAAGAAATGAACTATCAAGACACGAAAAGACATGGAGGAAATTTAAATGCATATTACGAAGTGAAAAGAATGCAATCTGAAAAGGCTACATGATTTCAACTACAAGTTAAGTATCCCTTATCTGAAATGCTTGGGGCCAGCCGTATTTCCAATTTCAGATTATGAAATAACTTAGGGATGAGGCGCAACATTAAATTCATTTGTTTTACATATACCTTATACAAATAGAGCTAATTTTATACATTTTAAATAATTTTGTGCATGAAACAAAGTCTTTTTTTTTTTTTGAGACAGTCTCGCTCTGTCACCTAAACTAGAGTGCAGTGGTGCAATTTTGGCTCACAGAAACCTCTGTATCCTGGGTTCAAGTAATTCTCATGCCTAAGCCTCAGCAGTAGCTGGGATTACAGGCATGTGCCACCACACCCGACTAATTTTATATATTTTCAGTAAAGACGGGGTTTTGCCATGTTGGCCAGGCTGGTCTTGAACTTCTGACCTCAGGTGATCTGCCCACCTTGGACTCCCAAAGTGCCAGGATTATAGGCATGAGTCACTGTGCCTGGCAGAAACAGCCTTGACTGCATTTTGTCTATGACGTGTCACACGAAGTCAGGTGTCAAATTTTTGATTTGTGGCATCATGTAGGTGCTGAAGTTTCACATTTTAATGCGTTTTGGATTTTGGATTTTCAGATTAGGGATACTCAACCTGTGTACATGACATCCTGGAAAAGACAAATCTCTAGACTGTATAAAGATCAGCGATTGCTAGGGGCTGGAGGAAGGGAAGCACAGAGGATTTTAGGACAGTGCAACTACAATGGTGGATATGTCATTATTTATTTATCCAACCCATAAAATGTGCAATACCAAGAGTGAACCCTAGTGTAAACTATGGTCTTTGGGTGATAATGTGTCAAGGTAGGGTCATCAGTTGTAACAAATGTCACCCTGGTAGGGGATGTTGATAATAGGGGAGGCTATCCACGCATGGGAGCAGTGGGTATTTGAGAAATCTTTGTATTTTCCTCTCACTTTTGCTCAGAACTTAAAACTGCTCTAAGAAATAGTCTATTTAAAAAAAGCAATCTGGCCAGGCGCAGTGGTGGCTCATGCCTGTAATCCCAGCACTTTGGGAGGCTGAGGCAGGTGGATCACCTGAGGTCAGGAGTTCAAGACTAGCCTGGCTAACATGGTGAAACCCCGTTTTAAAAAAAAAAAGCAATTCATTTTGTACACATCCGATTGTCAAAGATTAATTCCCAGAGGTGGGTATGGAAAATTGGGCATGATCACAGGCTGCTAACAGGGTGTACAAATTAGTGTACGTTTTCTGGAGGTCATTCTGGCAAATGCATCAAAAGCCTTATTAGAAAATATGCCTACCTCTGCCTCATTGATTCTCATTATGGGAATTGAGTAAACAAAAAATTCTGTAAGTAGGCAAAGTTGTATATACAAGGATGTTCACTGAAAAACTGTTCATGGGGATCAAATTGTAAATGATGTAAATGATTAACGCTGGGGACATATACCATAGAACACCGCACAGCTTACATGGAAAATTATCTTCCACGAAGGCTTTTAACGACCTGCATGTTTTAATCAGGGATTTGTTTGAAACCTTTATTGGAAGCAATCCCAAGGCCAGGACAGATATGGATTACAGAGGTTGAGGGCTGAAGTTGCCACACCTGAGTCTCTCCAGGCCCTCATGGGATTCCCACTTCAGGAGACTGCTTCATTTTTTGCTTCTCAGTTTGTCTCTGTGTTTTTTATGTGGCCACAAAAACTGTTCCAGTGTGCGCTTGTGTCCTCTTACTCTTTTTCTGTGTGTATTTTAGACAGGGTGCTGTTCTGTTGCCCAGGCTAGACTGCAGTGGTGCAATCATGGCTCACTGCAGCCTTGATCTCCTGGGCTTGAATAAGCTTTCCACCTCTGCCTCTGAAGTAGCTGAGACTACAGGTGTGTGCCCAGCTAATTTATTTTTTGTAGAGATGGGGTTTCATCATGTTGTCCAGGCAGTCTCAAACTCCTGGGTTCAAATGATCTCCCACTTTGACCTCCCAATGTGTTAGGATTACAGGAATGGGCTACTGCACCCTGCCTCTAACTCTATATTACTTTTGGGTTCAGGTGCCTAAAAAATGCCAACCAGAATCTGTGATCCAATGTCAAATTCCTAAGGGCATCTAAAGCCTGGCTTGAGGATCTCTTCCTGATCCAATCATCAGCGGTTAGAGACAGGACACATGGCAGCTGCACACTCAGGATTATGGCAGGAGCAGATTAGAACAGGGTGTGAGGACAGGTAAATTGACCATCCTGTCTGCTACAGATAAAAACTGTTCAAGATATAAAGTCCAGTGAGAAGTCAATTGTTTATGTGTGAAAAAGATCAGTTACCTACAAATACCCGTTAAGATGCTGTATCTGTACCATGAAACAAGATTTGTTTTTACATTTTTCAAGTTTTTTTAAACAATGGATATGAACTTCTATCAGACATAAATTTAATAAGAATGTATGAAGATATTAATAGACAATTAGGATTACTTTTTCCCTTTCCTATTTTTCCGTACTACTTTTAATGGCAAACTACATAGTAACTTAACCAGGTTTTTAAACAAGTGAGTGAGTGGGAAATGGAGACAGTGACTTCCGACTTCACTGTTTATTTGGGTATCACAGGACACGCCTCCAACAGAAATGCCTCATCAGCAGAAAATACTGCTGCCGTACATCCCTCCTGGGTTCCTGTCCTCTGAATAGGGATTTTTAATCTGCCTTTTAGGACGTCTTACACTGCAAGCAAAACCTTGAGATTTGTTACATGTGCCCTTTGCTCAGTGTTGCTGTAACTTTAAAGCATGAAGTGGTAGGAAGACATTATTAGTTAAACATACCTCTAGCTGACATTTATGCCCAGGTGGAGATGGGTCTGACCCAAAGGAAATGACGAGAAATGACCGTTTCCTTTGGACCCAGAAGGAAGAATTAAGTTGTTTAAGGTGTCAATGAATTCAGAATGTTTACACCTGTTCTATAAAATCATCAT